GCGGATCGGTCAACAAAGGATGCCTTTGTCGACCGGTCCCATAAGCCTCATTTCACACGGCATAACGGAGTGGTCCACAAAGGCTTCCCTTGTCAATCGATCCACGTCTAGACTACAGTGCTGTGCCAGATCAGCTGACTGTCGGCACAGCTCAGAGGCCATTTTTATTTTAATGAAGTGGGGATTATTTAAATCCCCGCTTCACTGACTATGGCAGAGCCATGTAGTCTAGACATACCCTTGGAGTTTAGGGCCCTTTGGATCCTCACTGTAGGCTGGGGGAGGATCCTGTAGATGTGGGTAGACCCACCCACCTACCAGACCCAAATAGGAGCACTCTTTTGTAACCCTCTGACCTGACCCTGTCACTATATATACAGTGTGGATGCAAATCACATAACACAGAGAGCTGCATTGCGACCCACAAGGGTAAACTGAGAAGCAACGGATTGGGTCCCACCTCATGGGAATGGGCTGCACTTGATGATTTCTCAAGGTCCATTCCAACTCTAGATTTTTTTATTCTAAACCACCAGGGAAAGGAGAATTAACTCTGGGAGTAGAAGGAAGAGAAAGGAGGAATTTAAAGGCCTAGCAAACAGGAAAGAGAACATAATCACTTTCTTAGGTTATGTCTACACTAGCACTGTTGTTGGCATAACTTATGTTAGGCAGGGGTATGAAAAAAAATACCCATGAGCAGGGCTCGCCGAACTGCGGCAAGCCCCGCTCGCCAACCACACTGTCCAGCGATCTGCGCATGCGCAGATCGCCAAACCCGGCTTTTCTGGGTTACAATCTACTCGCCCATGGCAAGTAGACTGTATTATTTGTCGAGCCCTGCCAATAAGCAACATGTTACACTGACAGAAACGCCAATGTGGACAAAACTGTTGAGGCACTCCTGCTGACATAGTTGCCACCGCTTGTTGAGGGTGGTTTAATTACATCAGAAGGAGACCTCTCTCATTAGCATGGAACCGCTACACATAAGATCTTACAGCAGCACACATACACTGGTACATAGAATCATACACTGGTACATAGAATACTAGAACTAGAAGGGACCTTGAGAGATCATCATTTCCCCACTTCCTGGATTTGTAGTTGCTGCGGGCCGGTTTTAGCTCCCCGGTGCTCACAGTGTTTGCAGGGGCAGGTGTGCGGCAGCTTGAGAAGTTGGACCATGGTGCCCGGGACACGGGCAGTTCTGTTCTAGACACTAATAACCCAACAGGGAGAGCAGGGAAGCTTGCGGGGAGACATGGCAGGAGCATCCCCTCCCCCCGTTCAAGAAGGGACCTTGAGATGTGGGCAGCACTGTTGACTGGTGAGGCACTCCTGCTAACATAACTGCCACCGCTTGTTGAGGGTGGTTTAATTACATCAGAAGGAGACCTCTCTCATTAGCATGAAGCAGCTACACATAAGATCTTACAGCAGCACAGATACATTAGTACATAGAATCATAGAATAGAATAATAGAATACCAGAACTAGAAGGGAACTTTAGAGATCATCAAGTCCAGCAGGTCCCCTCACAGCAGGACCAAGCACTGTGTAGACCATCCCTGATAGATGTCTTGCTAACATGCTCTTAAATATCTCCAGAGATGAAGATTCCACAACCTCCGTAGGCAATTTATTTTGTTTAACCACCCTGACAGTTAGGAACTTTTTCCTAATGTCCAACCTAAATCTCCCTTGCTGCAATTTAAGCCCATTGCTTTTGGTCCTATCATCAGAAGCCAAGGAGAACAATTTTTCTCCCTCTTCCTTGTGACACTCTTTTAGAAACTTGAAAACTACTATCACATCCCCTCTCATTCTTCTCCTTCTCCAAACTAAACAAGCCCAGTTCTTTCAATCTTCCCTCATACCTCATGTTCTCTATACCTTTAATCATTCTTGTTGCTCTTCTCTGCACTTTCTCCAATTTCTCCACATCCTTCTTGAAATGTGATGCTCCAACTGACGCCTAATCAGCACAGAGTAGAGCAGAAGAATGACTTCTCGTGTCTTGCTCACAACTCTCCTGTTAATATATCCCAGAATCACGTTTGCTTTTTTTGCAGTAGTGTCACACTGTTGACTCATATTTAGCTTGTGCACTATAACTCCTAGATCCCTTTCCACAGTACTCCTTCGGAGACAGTCACTTCCCATTCTGTATGTGTGAAACTGACTGTTCCTTCCTAAGTAGAGTACTTTGCATTTGTCCTTATTAAACTTCGTCCTATTTACCTCAGACCATTTCTCCCGTTTGTCCAGACAGATCATTTTGAATTATGACCCTATCCTCCAAAGCAGTTGTAGTCCCCCCCTCCCAGCTTGGTATCATCTAGAAACTTCATAAGCGTACTCTATCGCAATATGTAAATCGTTGATGAAGATACTGAACAGAACCGGTCCCAAAACAGACCCCTGAGGGACCCCACTTGTTATGCCCTTCCAGCAGGATTGTGAACCATTAATAACTACTCTCTGAGAACAGTTGTCCAGCCAGTTATGCACCCACCTTACAGTAGCCCTATCTAAGTTGTATTTCCCTAGTTTACTAATAAGATCATGCAAGACCATAACAAATGCCTTACTAAAGTCTAGGTATACCACGTCCACCACTTCTCCCTTATCCACAAGACTTTTTAACCTATCAAAGAAAGCTATCAGATTGGTTTGACATGATTTGTTCTTTACAGTTCCATGCTGGCTGTTACCTATCAGCTTATTTTCTTCCAGACCTTTGCAGATGAATTCCTTAATTACTTGCTCCATTATCTTTCCTGGAACAGAAGTTAAACCAACTGGTCTGTAGTTTCCTGGGTAGTTCTTATATCCCATTTAATAGAAGGCCACTATATTTGCCCTTTTCCAGTCTTCTGAAATCTCTCCCGACTTTCATGATTTTTCAGACGATCGCTAAAGGCTCAGTTACCTCCTCTATCAGCTCCTGGAGCTTTCCAGGGTGCATTTCATCAGCCCCTGGTGACTTGAAGACATCTAACATTTCTAAGTAATTTTTAACTTGTTCTTTTTTTATTTTAACTTGTAAGCCCACCCCATTTCCACTAGCATTCACTATCTTAGGCATCCCATCACCATTAAACTTCTTGGTGAAAACCAAAACAAAGAAGTCATTAAGCACCTCTGCCATTTCCAAGTTTCCTGTTATTGTTTCTCCCTCTTCACTGATCAACCAGTGGCCTTGAGCATTTAAAGTTATTCTATCTCCCTGCCCAGCATTGCCAAATAAATCATCAGTGAACCAGAAATGCACAGGCTACTATGGTTGTTTGTATAAGACCCATTTTGAGTTGAAACTATGTGAAGTGGAGATAAAGGGGAAGTTAAATCAAGTAGGAGGTTTGCATACCATTCTGATACCCAGACTCACAACAAACTATTTTCCATCCTATTTCCTTTACACAAAAAATTTCAGAAAAATAAAAATAAGCTTTCATGGCAATGGCTGTGAAGGAATCACACTTCTGTAAATTAAAACAGATTTTTTTTGCAAATTAGATGCATTTTTTACTGTCGTACTGTGAAAACAGGTTAATTCCTGAGGAAGTAATGCAAGTAGATGAATTAAGATACACTGATTATCTTGCATTTTCCCCTAGTTTCCTTCTCCCATTTCTGCCAATAAATAAGTAATACAATCATCTTCTCAGTTAGGGGAAAAGAGAGGGGAAGGTAATACAAACCAAAGCACAAGGTTGTTACAGGTTGCATCTCTATAAACCAGACTCTCTGGTGCAGCAACATTCATTGTCCAAAAGGGCCACAGAGGTCCCGGCATGATGTGAAGGGGGGGGGAGGGGTGAGAAAAAGGATGTCTAGTAGACTATGAAAGAGTCTCCTAACTAAAGTAATTAAATCTCCATATATTGCGACATCTAAATGAAGAACAGGCAAAGCACTATGATACTGCGGAAAAACAAATCTACTCTGCTCCAAAGTAATGGATCAGATAAAACAATAAGTGTTTGCCAGTTCTAACAGTGAAATGTACAAGAATGGGTTAAATTACATGACAAAGGAAAGTCTGGTCATTTGACATAGCAAGCTATCCTCCCCACTAGGTGACAGTTGTACTGCAAGTGTCATTTTAAAGCTAGATGAAGTAAAATGGCTAGTGAAAGGAACATTGTCCCTCTGGGATGGAATAATGTTCTAAATAGAAAACTTTTATTTTCAACAAGATCATTTCAAACAAGAAAAATGAATGGAAGAGAATGTTCCTTTGAGCAGGATTTTTAAAGGCTAACACACTGTCCACAGCCAAGAGAGAATGCATATTTTCTGTGTGATACATACAATTATAGTCTTAAGAACTGAAAAGCAATGCTTGAATCCTGACACAAAACATGAACAATTCTTGGGACAGTTTGTCAAGGAGGAAAGACAGACAACTGGTTTTCATGCACATGGAAAAGTATATTCCTGTTCTGTTTGTCTAGCAGCATAATCAGTGCCTTTTCTCACAGATTCCTGCTTTTAAAATGTGACATTTAAAGGAATAATTGTTGAAATTTACCCTGAACTTCTAAGGCACAAAATGGGGGTCCATGGTCAGCAGGTATAAGAGGCAGGAGAAGGCAATGCCTTCCCAAATGGTCAGCCTGGCCTCGACCACACTCCACCTCCCACCTGTGCACCCATCTTGTGAGGCTGCCTTGGCTTCAGCTCCAGACGCTGGAGCTGGGCACCACCCACACACAGGGGCCAGGAGGACCCACACTTCCCATGCTCCAGGGAAGCATGTCAGCTACTCTCCCCAGCTGTGCTCCAGCCACTAGCAGTGCCAGGGAAGGTGGGGGCTGCGTGCTAGCGGCTGGGAGAAGGGCAGTCTGAAGGGCAGAGCTTGGCTTCCATGCAGCCCTGGACAGCAGGAGTAGAGCCAGGCAGCAGGGGAGGAGCTGGGGGCTTGCCTCCCCCAGCCCTAGCTTCACCCACCAACTATGCTGGGTTCCAACTGAATCCTGCTGCCTCACTTACCTGATTCTCGCTTTCCTTAAGGCAAGTTCCTCTTCGTTCCCAAAATCAAGCGAGACATCCTCAGTGTCATCCACTAAAGGCTGGAGAGAGAAGCCCCCCCAGCACCCAGGCATCAATGGAGAACGAGACAAGTCCGCACTGGCACCTCGGCTGCCCTTCCTCTGACCTCCCCAGCACATCAGCAACCTTCCTGACACCCCAACTCCCGCAGCCCGGCCTCATCCCCGGCTGACACCGCACCTCCACCCAGGCCCTCCCTCGCCGCTCGCTGAGGCGCCGGGGCTGCTAGGGCCCACCTGCTTCATCCTGCCGCCCGCGCCGAACGCTTCGCGGTCCCCACAGCCCTAGGGCGGCTCGGACGCCAATGGGCTCGGCCTCGCTGACCAGGCGCGAGCGGTTGCTAAGGAGCGCCGGGGCTCGGGGGCGGCCGGGTGTCACAGCGAAAACGCTCCGGTGTAGGAGAGTTTCACTTTCTGTCGCTACACCGGCCCGGGGCGGGGTGAGGACGGAGAAGTGCCAGGGTGTGTGGAGGGCTGACTAGGGAGCCAGGCTGTTGAGGGGGGGCAAATCCAGGCTATTAATTGGGGGGTGAAGAATGGGGCAGGCTGTTAAGTGTGGGGGGAGAGGCCTAGGCGTTTCCTGGGGCGAGTAGGGGACCAGAGTGCTGCCAGTGGGAGGGAAAGGACCGGGGTGTTGGGCAGGGAGGAGAGGAGCAGACTGTTAGAGCAGGTGCTGGGAAGGTTGGATGGATTTTTATTTTATTCCGGGGGCTCATTGAGCAAGGTACCGTACAAAGACCAAACCCACAGCAGAGAGGCTTGTCCTCCCTAAGCCATTTACCTACTAGTTTGCTTCCAATTACCAACAGTATTTTTTAAATTAAGAAACCAATTAATTTTTAATTTAAAATGTATTTGTTTAAAATTAAGAAACAAACGTAATTCAGATATAGGGTCTTGCTCTCAATTTTATTTTTGTTTATTGTATACCAGAAACCAGAACTCTTTTTGGCTTTATTAAACTGAAATACAGAAAAGTTAAATTGATTAAAACCAAAACATGTCCCAGTGCCTTTTTATTTTAGTGAGCTCCTTTTTTTCTCTTATTTTTATAGGTTTTTTAAAGAAAGAAACCTTTGCTTGAGTCTCAATGACAGCAAAAATTGGTTTTGAAAGCACACCCAGCGAGTGTAAGAAGTAGCTCTTACACTCAGTTATTGAATACCTAAACTCCCTGACAAGGGGTAGACAATGGCAAAAAGTGTAATAGAATAGAATGGAGTCTATCTAAAAAACTAATTGTAATTCAAGCCTGAGAGTGGATTAAGCTGCCTTTAATATATTATTTTTCTTATGTTTGTAGTCTGTTTCCTTATCACTGCTAGCTGGCAGCTTGCAAACTTTGTATATCTTACAGAAGAATAGATATACTTGTAAACTTTGTAAAACAATGTGGTTGGGGAGGGAGGGGACTTTTCCCCTCCTTTCACATCATTGCCACGAGATTAAATTGTTGTTCAAAATATTTAAATAAAATGCCCAACATAGTAGAGGAAAGCACACAGTGTGTTTTTGTGTTTTTAAATCTTGATCCTCCCCACGTGAATAGTCTCATTGAAAACTAAATTACTAGTGTAAGTCTATTATTGGTCAAGTACATCTGTAACTGAAGCAAGGTTTATCTGAAGGTTATTTTAAGAATCACCTGCTTTTTTGTTTGATATTCTTAAATACAGTTTATGTAGAGTAGCTTAGCTACACTACATAACGAAAGCATGAAATGACATAGCTGAGCTACTCCTAACATTTTAGCAACATTAATTAGTTACTGTTCTGAGATGAAGATAAGGAGGGAAATGTGGCATAAATTTTTAGGGGCTTTCTGAGACCAAAGTGTGAAACATTTTAGTTTGGTAACCTTTGAGTGAAGGCTTAAAAAAGAGTTAATGTCTACAGTACCTTTGTTACAAATATTTAGTCACTAGATAAACATGCTGAAGAGTAATCTATCACAGTGCACTAAAACATCTAACTTTTCTGGGATCCTGGAAAAGCTATGTCACATTCAAGGAACGTGTCCATTTTTTCAGAACAGTTTCCAAAAAAGCAGATGCAATCTTTCGGCATCCCTGTATTCCTCATTGTATGAGAAAGAAGGGATGTTCTAAAAGAGGAAGTTTTTCCGTAATTTGGCCCTGTGTAGACAGGTCAAATTTCAGAAAAGCCTCTTCCAGAAAAAAAAGTGGAAGAAGTTATGCAATTTGTGTATCTTTTTCTCACTTTTCTTTTCAGTCTAGACATAGCCCAAGAAAGTACATCTCCAAAATGTTGCACAGGACCTAGCCTTAACCAACTATCAGTACAGCAAGAAAATGCATAATACAGTACAAGCATTGTCAGCTGAATTTTGCAAATAGGCAAATAAATACGCAAACATTAGGAAAGCAAAGGTTATTAATAAGATGATTTATTACTTTGACAATTGTAGCTTGATTTTTAAAATTGTAACATGTTACTATAGTACAGGGCCTGGACGCTAAAAGTTTAATTGCTGTTACTTGAACAGTCCAGTTTACTTCAGTGTGAGTGCTCTTGTGCAGGAGCCGTTCTTCCTGAAAATAAGCAGCAGAATGGCTCTTGCACAAGAGCAGTTTTCCTTCTTGCACAAAAACCCCTTCCACAAAAATGGCAGCTGATTAGGTATTCATCACCACACCTCATTTGCATATCTTCTTGCACAATAATGCACAGTGTAGATGTAGTCTGATAGTTTGTCTCCTTTGAACTGAGTTAAACACAGTGTAACTTTTCTGCATTCCCAATAACTGCAAGCACTGGCCATCATATCTTACAATTCCTGCATTTAGAGTTAACACAGTTTGTTACCCCACAACAGCCTAAGTGATTACAATAGGCAAAATACCAGTCTAACAATTGAATATCTAGCAGGCCTAAGCAAAGTGAATGAACTGTATTTATATAATCACACCCAGGATTTCTTTCCCACTCCAGCTGGCTGTAGGGTTGCCAGGTGTCCAGTATTGTACTGGATAGTCTGGTTTTAGTGCCCTCTGTCCGGTAAAATAATTCAGAAAATACTGGATATGTGCAATGTCCGGTATTTTCTGTTTTTCTGTCTGGGCGCCGGACGGAATCCTGGCAGGGGCAGAGGGAGTGGATAGGAGGTGGGGTCATGATCAGCGCTGGGAGCCTGTGGTAGCGTGCAAAAGGCTGGCAGGGGTTCTGCATGCAACCAGAGGCTCCCAGTGCTTATCGCGGTCCTGCCTCCTAGCTGGGAGCCTGTGTTTGTGTGTGTGGAAGGACTGCACACTATTTGGCATACTGAGTGGTAGATGTGTACATTAGATGCCAAAACTGAGTTTATAATGTTTTCTCTAGAAGAAAAAAACTAACCAACTTCCAAACACATCTAAAATCCATATCCTTAAACAGTTATTTCAAAATCTACTATCAAGACATCACATCTCAAATCCTATGATATTTTAAAACAATGAACTGAGCTTCTCCTCCCAGATCAGATATAGTTAATGAATGTATTTTCAGGTTCATTATGACCTCCAATTCTTAGCAAATATTATGCAGTTACACATGCCATTAGTTGCTACCTAACTGATGAGCTATGAACTAGCATTAAAGTCAATTAATATTCTATTAACAGTATCTGAGTAGAGCAGACTTCTGAAGTTGAAAATGCTTCTGCTTAGCTGAAGATTTGTGTAAAATTCTCATTGGTGCAAAAATTATGTTTAGGAGCCTAATTACTTTTAGTCTTATAGAGTCTCCGTCCCATTTATGTCCTCTCTTCTCATGCCATGTACACTAGTGCAGAGCCTGTGCCAAATCTGGTTCTGACACTATGAACTTGCTATCCTTCTCATGTTGCAACATTATGTGAGCTGAGCTAATTCTCAGGTGGTTGTTATGAATGAAAAAAGTTGGTGATGGGCTATGTTCTGTGGGAGAGATGGGAGTTTGGCTGTAACAGAATTTTCTGACTTTTTTAGGATCTGGTTCCACAATTCACTTACACCCTTGGCAGTCAAATGATTTAATTTGAGTTGGTCTGGTATAACTGGAAGGGAAACAGAATGCAGTATTTTAGTTGTCAACTTCAATCTTTACAATGAAAAGAATGAATGCTTCTGATTCTCCTCTGTCTCCCAAATGATCTATTATAGGTATCATCAGAGTTTTCACAGTGTGTGTTATAGGGTGAGTGGCCTCTTTAAGGAAGGATGCCTTGATAAGCTGCTTCTCAGGCTGACATGTGAGAACTAAAGAGGAGGTCAGGTGACACATTAATGGAAACTTGCATCTCACAAAAGCAAATTGAAAGAGCCAAATGAATACCTAGAAACCATCTACTACAAGACAGACCCAAGAAAACCAACAATAGAACACCACTTGTCATCACCTACAGCTCCCAACTTATACCTGTCCAACACATTATGGCTACGTCTACACTGGCCCCTCTTCCGGAAGGGGCATGTAAATTTCAGCAGTCGTCGTAGGGAAATCCGCGGGGGATTTAAATATCCCC